CTACCCGACGGCCAAAGAGTCATGCCTCGAGTGACAAACTGTGTGGATGACATCGAAGGGACAAAACCATGCATGAAGCCGTACTTGTACTTCCACAAGCCGCCGACGGCGTCGGTCGACGGGAGCACGAGCAAGCGTCTCCATCCAGACACGTGGAACAAGGGCATGAACCCCCAGTTCATGCAGCTGCCCATTGCAGGGTCCTCGCCGTCCCACACTGGTTTTACCACAGACCGCGTCGTAAATCCCCTCACTCCATCGTATTCATTCGTCGATTTGCTGCACGAATTCCAACCCAGTCGCATGTGCGCCGTAGATACAAGCTCCCGCATTGCGACCCGGCTCCTCTAATCCACCCCAAGTTCCTACGCGACAGCTTTCAGACGGCCGACATCGAAGGCACACGTGCAGCTCCTCGATACACACATCCCCCTCGGGACTGTATGAATTTGGTACGTCGCCGATGCTCAATCCGTGCCACCATGATGGGACGACTGTGGCAGAGCGACATTGCTGGGGCCACCGCGTCGTGGAGGCCGCGCGGTGTCAAAACATCCAAGCAAAAGGACAGTATGCAAGTCGCAGACATCATTCACGCCGGCTTCCAGTCCCAACGGGTCACGTACGGTTGCCAGTCGCTGGTCTTGGTTTCACAGGGAAAACCATGACTGTGCAGGGATGCACTTCGCCCAGTCCATGTCGTGAACGGATTCCGATCGGCGGACGATCCACGATCGTTCCCCAAGGCCCCGTACAAATCGACGAATCACCCGTTCTACCCGCTGGAGACGCATGACATCCAGGTTTTTTGCGCGCTTCGCCAGTGCCGCAACGTGCTTTGTGTATCACGTATAGGGTGCCAACCCCACCGACAGCTTGAAGGGGGTCGTGGGCAACATTCCTCACGTGAAGCGGCGCCATTTTCGATCGACCAACAATGTCCAGGACATTCGAGGAGCGCAAGCCAACACGGTGCATCACAGCATCGTGAGCAATCGACAGGTGCGGCAATTCGCCGCTTCATGCTTGGATGACAGAAGAAAACGTGCGTTGATGAGGTGGGAGGATGGCTAGGTCGACCCAATTTTTCCAGCGTACACGGATTTGGACGGCGATGCGCTTGAAACGGGATTGCCCATCCCGAAGAACATTCAGTTTCCTGACGTGGCACCACGTGTGTCTCAGCGCAAGTCGAACAATGTGTCGACGATTCAACTGGGCATGAAGGTTTCCAAGGACCGGCAGAAGCCACCGCCCACAGCCCCAGGAGCCAAGCAAGTCGCGGCTCGACAAGCCGACATCGATGCAGTGAGGGGGCTCAAATAGATCCAGTATGAACTGACCAACGAATGTCGGTTGCCGTGCATGCAACCCCGCCGAGCTCCGGTGTGCTATCCTCGACCGCTTTTTCAATCCGAATCCGTCAGGTCTAGCGAGCTCAACCTGTTCGTTTTCACGTCAACGCGCACACAAACTCGTCCACCCATGTCTCGTTGGATGCGCCGGCACTGTGCCCCAGCACAGTGCCGGAAGCTCCGCTCCAGGAGGCTTCTCCACGACAATCTTGCGAAGTCCTTGGTTCGTCGGAGGAAATTCAAATTTCAGATATATTTACGTGTAATTTCTTCGATTTATGGTCATTTTCGTTGTCACTTTTCTGCATCAATAAAATAAAACTCACAAGAATCGTCAATAATGTTTTACGACGGTTTCAAAAGATTCGACATGGCACCGCCGACGCTCGCCGCCCGCCTCGAGCAGCAAGCCCGCGACCCGATCGACGTCCTCCGAGTGCGGCTCAAGGATGTATCAGAAACGTCCGTGCTGAACACGCAGCAGTTGCTCGAGATCAAGACAGACTACCTCCACCGCGCCGAATCAACGAAAGGTACGCATGAAACAACGCGGCGACCCTCGACGGACGCATGGCCTAGGTCAGTTGGATGGATTCGTCCAAGCCCAAATCGACGAGATCGAACGCGCGTCGACGCTGCTCTCGTTTGACGACAGCATCGCGAAAGTGTCGCTGTCTCTCCGCAATATGGGCGCGAGCTGCCAACGCATGCGCGAGGAGCTAGGCGACGATGGCGTTGCGTCCGAAGTCAGCATAGCACGGCGTAACCTGAAGGATTTGCACACGCAAATGCAATTCTACGAGGACCTTCCTGCCACACTTGCAGAGATGGAGCAGACGCTCCAAGTCAATCTGGGCCAACTCGTCTCCGTCTTTAGCAAGTACCTCATCATGGACGACTGGCGACAAAAGATGCTCTTGCAGGTAATCCTCGTCTGGGCTACTACTTCCACGCAACACTGCCTCGAATGCTGACGTGCGATGCGTTCAGCTGTACACGTCGGCCAAGGATAACCAAGACGACACGTTCAACAGGTACCCCCGTGTCGATGGTCTGTCGTCCGCACGGTCGTCAGCGCTGTTTGTGGCGAGCGAAGCAAGCACGTGTCGAAAGCGTTGGCGGCGATTCTCCCGCGACTGAATGACATTGACCACGTCGGGAAGCGGATCCTCGACGGCACATGGAGCATCGTGGTCAACTGCATCGAGATGGTCCAGTTTGACCGGAAACGACTCGTCGACGCGTTTCAAATCGTCGAGCACCTCGAAAAGTATGGTACCACCAACGTTATCATTCGTCCTCTTCCACAGGCACTCTCCATCCCTTCGCTGGTCGCGCGTATTCGATTGCCTCCTTGGCCACGACCGCAGCACCATCGTGGCTTGACGAGGTTGTTTGGGCTACAGTGATGACCGTCCATGTGTGTGTAGACGGAGGCGCAAGCGTGTCGATGCAAACAAGCTGTATTTGGATCATTCGTTGCAACCGATCAGCGAAAGCGCGGCGCCGTCTATGTTCCACATGTGCCGGGACCAGCTTGCCACATCGCTCCAGGCCCGCGTCGCCGACTACTTTGTGCATCCGCCCGACCAAGCCTTTGCGCAGGTGCTGCGCTCTCTTCTTGGCTCGGCAGACTTGTACAGCCTACGTCGTTCCAGGCCTTCAACGGGATGCTAAACAACGCGTCCAACTTGTTGGTTGACTTGGAATACGTCGATCGCGACGTCGCATCGTGCTTCCCCGCTGCGATCGACGCGGTTCAAGTGTTTGTGGCGAGCTACAACACGGCGCTGGAAGTGCAGGTGCGACATGTTGGGGTGGCTGAGCGATTCCCCAAGGCGACCCGTCGTGGCTAGTTTGCCAAGATTTGCGGCAAAGGCGACCTCGGCGTTGCCCAGAAGCTCCAGCTCGTGCAGTGGATCGACTATTACAACTCTCAAGCACGTGTGCCCCATTGCCGGACCATTTGAACATCCGCAGTATCTCACGCATGGCGTAGGTGGCCAGGTACCGATCGGGCACGGTGTCGGCCATCCTAGACCAGAACGCCAACCTCGTCATGAAGCTGTACTTGGACGGCATTCAAGTACGCGTCGCGCGCGCGGCGGTGGATGGCGTTAACACTACTTGGACGGCCGACATAGGAACAAATCCACACGTGGGTCACCAACATCTACAATCGAGACGAAGAACCTGTCGTGGGGCCGTCGGGGGAACTGCACTCCACGCGCCCGAACGACATCATGAACATTTTGTCGTCGCAGATCACGATCGCGCAGGAGTGGCTCAGTGGCGGGCTTCTCGCCCGCGTCGTCCTGGTGCGCCTTGCATGTCCTGCGCGACCACCTCGGTCACCTTGATGCGTCTTGTCCGTTCTAGGCGTGTTTGGCGGCGCTGATGCAGCAATTGAGAGCCCGCGCCGACCGGTTTGCCACGGCATCGTGCACGGACATGGAGAGCTTGTGCTCGTTCGTCAACGACACGGACGTGCTGCAGGTACCAACTCGTCGTGCGACGCCCGGATTCACGTGGGTCGTGTCGGCCAGTCCAAGGTCGTCGAGTTGATTGACAAGATTCAATTTCCTGGATCGGCCGACCACGCCGACGAGGTGGCGAAACTCAACGCGGGCCTGGGCGACGCGCTGAACGCGACATCGTCCGACATCGTCGCGCTCGCCGTTCACGCGTGCAGTTTGATTGTGCGCAAGATCTTTGACGAGATCGACGCGGTGCGGCCGGTCGCGCCACTCATGACACCTCACCACGTCCGCAGGACACGACAGCGCACTGGTTTGGCAAAAAATGGGACGACCAAGAGCCTGTGGTCGAAAACGTGCTTGTGACGCTCGACGACTTCCTCAGGGATCTCCACGCGTGGATCAGCGGATCGTTCTTCTACGCCAAGGTCGTGCGGTTTGCGCTCGACAGGTTTCCGACTGCTTCGGTGCGTTGCCCACATGCGTAAACGGCATACTCTAGATGCGTCGATGAATACACCAAGCGCTTTGTCGGGCGAACGGCAGCGTTGCCCAACGCCGAGGTGGCATGCCGCGTCATCGAGCAGGATGTCATGGTAGGGATGCCGGCGGATTTTCTGTGGGCTACGATCTTTACGGTCGGTCGCATGCAGAATGTGCACGGGTTTTTCTCGCGATACGAGTCGGAACTCCGACGCACGGGGCTTCGCACGGCGGACGACGTGACCAAGCACCTGGAGCCGATGAACATGCTGAGTCTCTTGGTGAGTCGCAAGCTGACACTCGACGACCTCGCCCGAGACCTGCACGACCTCGACCAGCAAGGTAACGTCGACGGGACGTCGAATCGCTTGTGGATGTGCGATCGATAGGCCTGATGGACGACGCCAGTGCAAAGCGCGCCAAGCTGCTCAAAGACGTCATGGGTGCCACCAAGCGGTTGGTACCGTTGTCTGCATCACATGGAGCGGCGGCGGCGGCAGACGGGAGCAAGTCAAGCAAGGGCGGGAAACCCCCGAAGAAGTCCACGTTCTTCAAAAAGACCAAGGACAAGACAGTAGCGAAAGCGGACGACAACGGCATGCCCGCGCCGCCGACGGAAGATGCGTCCGACGCAGCCGCGGACTTTCAAGTGAAAACCACCAGTCTGGATGCGTTCCTCAATCATTGACCAAGAATCGGCCGCCGATGTTGCAGCTCTCGAATCGACCCACACACCCCAGTGCATCTGACCATTCCTTTCCTCCTGTGCTTTTTTCCACCTCGTCGCAATCGACATGCTAGAGGATGTCCACATCGACTGCGAGTCCCTGACAACACACTAGTAGCTATGAAAGTTTGTGATCTGGCATTGTGCTTGAGCTGGTGCGGTGCGCCGACGGATGGCGATCGCGCGGAGGGGCGCGATGGCCACATGTGTCGATCTTGCACGAGTTCGAAAGTGTGGCGTCATTGGATACACTATGCTCGGGACGCGGCACGGACTCGATGGAGTTGCAAGTCCCGCAATTCCTTTGACCATTCATTCGATTCCAGCTTGGCACACTCGACGGCGACTAAATGTGCTTGACCTTTTGGCGAATGGCATTGCGGCTGACTCGGAGGAGCGACGCGGCGCCAATGAGCACAACAACGACCACGGTCGCAATGAACTGTCCATGGTCACCGGCCACAGCTTTGACATGTTCTGCGTCGGTACACTCGATGTCATCTGCGACATGGACACACTCGGGGCGGTACGACATGCGGTAAAAGACAAAGAGCGCCCCGGCCATGGCGGCCAGAACCAAGCACACGCGATGGAGCAGCGTGATGAGATCCAATGATCCGTCGAACCCACCGTGTTGGTACATGAGGAAGCGCACGTGTTGCTGCGCTTGTTGCTTCTTTGACACGGACGAGAGGGACGGGACAATCACGACGTCCAAAAACGTCCCGGCATTCCAATGCACAGCGCCGACCAAGTCCCGCGACCCGGACGACACAACGACATGCCACGTGTTGCCATATTGCTGGGTTAGCCACGTCTAGAACGGCGCGATGAGAATGTGGAGTGTAGAGGATGACCGATAGACCTTCAGTTTACTGCACAACACGTCCGACTCGCCCGATGTGGCGGCAAGGCGTTGGCAGATAGACAACACACTCGACTGGAATGGCGCTGGCATGTCTGACTCCATCACGGTCGATTTGCTACGAGACATGGATTCAAACTGAGCACGACAATGCTGAGCGCTGCCTGATCGTACATGCTGTCGGACGCGGCTTCGGAAGGAAGCGCGATGGACCCAGCGGTGGAGGTGGCCGTCGTCGCAACGGTCGTGCGGTACACAACGACCTTGATCCCAGCGGCCTTGTTGTGCAGAACAGCACAGCAACCCTTGCGCTAGCGCAGCCAAGGCGTAAGGCACCGTACAGGATTCCAATTGACCGTACGTAGCGAATGTCGACGGCAAAGTCCTTGCCCGCGACCACATGCCAGCCGAGACCGTGCTTGTCGTCGAGATCGGCTTGCACCACGGTGGCCAATTCCTTGAGTGTTTTGGCCGTCGCCGCGCCACGCTGGACAGCCTACGTGGCGAGGGGCAAAGATGGATTCAGTTACACCAAACAGCGGCGCGGCGCTGCACACGATACCAAGGCGCACCTGCAGGACTGCGCTCTGAAGCGCCAACGACGCACTTGGCCGACTCAACACGGTGAACGTTCCCGCGGCCACCACCATGAGGTTGACAACAATGCCCGATGCGAGTGAACAATACGGATAATTGTATCCGGATAGGCCGGACTTGGAGATCTGGAGGATGCGTTGTGATCGAGGGGGTTGACTCGACGCCGTGTCGTGCTGTCGGTGCACCTGCAATCTCACACAGACGCGCTTGCTCGAGTTGACGAGCCCATGCAGCCCTGAACACAATCAGATTGGAGTGTTCCCCCGTAGGAGTTGGATGAGGCTACGATTCAGGTGTGCCCTACGTGATGGCATGCCTTGACGACAGCCTCGCGTGGCACGCACGCGCTATGCAGAAGTCTATCCCACAACAGCCCGAAGAAGCCCCCTTCACGAGCTAGAGCTCTCGATTCCACGCATCTTGCCACTCGAAGAGCTCCGCCCGCCCCACTTGCAACAGCTCTTTCGTATCATGGAGTTGTCATCGAGATCGCTTGGCCAGCATGCGCTTGTGATCGTCTGATGGCTCACCGTACGACTAGTTGAATGGTCGACGTTCAGGTCATGCAGCAGCATGCACACAAAGTGCACTCTGTGCTTCCCCTGGCGAAGCAACGCGCAGCGACAGGTGGCAGTGTTTACGTGCTACACTGACCGCACAACTCACCGTGACCGTGGCGGCATTGCTCGACAGCATGTGGCGTTATTCCGGTCGCGGTCGCTTTCGACATGCCCCGGCGGTCGTTGGCGGCGGCGGCCGCTTTCCAAGTCGTGGTGGACGCCTTGATGACCCATGACACAAGTGGTGACAGGCTGCAATGGAGCACACGGTGATCAGGGCCGCCGGCATGGAGTAAACGTCAGACATGACACTCGACGACGACGACCGTTGTCGCCCGTACCCTCCGATGATATGCACCATCCCGTCGTGCACCACGTGCTCGATGGGTTGCGATGTGCACATTGCCGCTATCCACCGACCGCTTCGACGGGTAGTCTCCATCTTCAGATCGCGAACGGTGACACCGCATGGAGATCGCTCGACATGGACTAACGTCGCAACCACAGCAATCTAGTGGCTATTGATACCATGAAAGGCTCCACCACAGGCGGCGATCGGCTCGCCATACGCCTGCATACATCTCTGGTACGGTTGGACATGACTCGAGCACTTGGCAGACCCCACCAACGACGATTACTAGAGCAACCACATCTATCTCGGCATCGACACCGAATGCGATGGATGAATTTTATGTTGAGGACAGGTAGCGGCGGAGCTGAAGCGCCTGGATGCCATTTCTACAAACTTTGCATTCACAGACACCATGCAACGATTCCGAGTCGAATCGGTCGCGACGATAATTCTAGCGATAACCTCTTGTGTCGAACACGCGCTGTCGCGTTCACTGGGGCTCGACAACGACGAGCGCGGCGTCGTACGGCGGGATGGTCAGAGTAAAGCGATGCTTTTGGTTCACTGTGACATTGGCTGACCACACCCTGGTAACAGTACAGACGGCCGCAGGATCCAGTCCTAAATCGTCCCAGCCCATTTCGAGCGTCTCGGGCACGTGGGGTGCCTCGTTGTGCAGGCGAAAGGCGCTTATCACCACCGATTTATCGATCCACGACAGCCACACGTCCACTCCTGGAACGGCGACACCCGTCCATCGCTTCTAGCAAGCGACGCATGAGGACTTGGTCGACCATTTTGAATGCGATGGACGTACTGGTGGACGCGACGTCGCGGTCAACGCTGCCGTGTAGAGCTTTACAAAGTAGGAATTCAACACGGAACTGCGCACGGTTGTTGACGTGCAAACGTCGCCGGCGACGAGGAGGGGGAACCGCAGCAGGTACCATGCCGTGAGCTGGATGCGCGCTTGACCGCGCGTGAGCCCATACCCTCCCGCTACAATTGGGCCGAACGAAGCGTTGTAAAATGGAGACGTGGTCGAGTCGTTGAGTTCATGCAGAGCCGCCTCGACGTGCCTCACCACGTCTGTGTAGTCGTCTTCCACCCGTGGGTTCAGCTGAACGTGCTGGCAGTGGCCAGACACCGCATGGAGCAATGTCAGGTTTGTGGTCGAAGGCACAACGCAATGCGATGTCAAGTTGACCGCAGATGCCAGAGATGTCAAGGTCGACAGGAGAGCGTAGAGCGACAATGGGGTCGTGGACGAAGTCGTATTGGCGACGGAGCAAGTGGTCAGAAGGACTCGATCGACATTCCAGTTCGCCAACGTCACCACGTCCAAGCCATAGTGACCAAAGGAACCTGGGAGACCTACGTGAAAGGAAGGGAGAGGTCATGGTGATGTAGGGTGGACGTTGGACCTGCGCACGTCTGGGCGCCAAGGTCGAGTGACGCAGCGACGCGAATTCCACGCGCGTGGGCGTACGCTGTAATACTTTCGAGCCCGTCTAATGGTGCATGGACACAGCAGTGAGTGGGAAATCGTAAGGTGGACGATGCACTCGAGACATACTTGGGAACGTAGTTACATTCGGCACGAGGCGACCGAAGGAATCCCGCGACCGGGACATCCAGCAATCCTCGACGTACAGCCACGTATACCCTGCCTGGACGTACCCATCGGCGACGAGGTGGTCCACAACCGTCCGATACAAATTTTCGCTGGCGCACGAATCCGTCGCACTGCAACCGTCGGCACAACCAAACGTGGTCGACCACCACCCCATTGTTGTGACAGGATGGAATGTATCCATCACGTCGAATGCACTGGGAAGTCGAGCGTGCGCCGCGGAAGCCCATGAGGATGTCGTCGCCACGGCTGCAGTAGCTCCCACGAT